AAAAAAAAAAAAAAAAAAAGTATTAATGATGTCTAACTTCATTTCATATTGAACACTATAATGCTGATAAATCAGAATTTTTCTCATATAGACCCTGCAAAATATAGCCGCAATATATCGCACAATCTGTTAACTTTATTTTTGACTCAGGTAACTGAAGTTGTCGGTCATAGATACCGAAAATAAATTCTTAGGACCAAAATAGTCTGTTGTTTTTATCAATCAAAAGTACGGTATTTTTTATCAAACCTTTTCGAACTCAAAGTACGACTGATGTGATCACAATTATTTCTTCTGAAAATTGATTTGGAATATTTATGTTGTTTTAACACACTTTGATAAAAAAAATGTATTCCTAGGTTTCATACGGAATTTTAAAGTGCAGGATATGCCATGTAAAGAAGGAGTAAATTTTCGAGAAATATATCTGGGTCCGATTGGCGTTGAGCTCAACCTTTAGTATCTCCCCACATTATTCGTTCAAAATGATTTTCTTGGGCGGTTTTGCCTGCCGGAAAAATGTTACTGTCACGGACCAAATGATCTGCTCGCGTTACATAAATGCGGATATATTTTATGCAATACATAACGAAATCAGTACATCTTAACACTAGATATCAATGCTTACAATTACATTATGACTGGTTGATTTAACTTCATCGTGAAAATTTTGTGTATGAAATACTTTTTTTATTTTTTATAATACTTTAAACGGTCTCTGCTCTTTTTTTGCAGGCTCTCATCGATATCTTTTTCTAGTTTATGAACAAAAAGGAATAATTGACTTTAAGGAGCCTCCGCTCACTAACAGGTGCGATATAGTGATGAAATGAATCCAGAATTTTCAGAGCTGAGGAAGAGGAAACGTTAGTTTAGCTGATCTTTAGCAAATGGGTTGATCTACTTGAGCCCTGGTAAAAACAAAAGGAAGTCGGTTTAGATCCAATCAGAGTCTATTAAAAAAACGGCTCTCAAATCATTTAAACTAGGGGCATCCTATGGAACTCAGCATCAGCATCTTTTTTTTCATGATATTTTATCACCTGAACAGGAAAAGGAGAGTGATAGTGGTTATTTTTTTAACAATGATATATTAGTACTCCACAGTCAAAAGATCCCTGACTGCATTTTAGTCCTTTCGACATATTAGGAGAGAATCGCAGGTCGGCCCTATTAATTCCAATGTAAATTGTACTTTTTTAACCACCATACCTCATAGTAGTCATTACCAGCATGTGATAGAGATATCGAATTTTCTTTGCACACGGAACCGTTATCGAATATTTCCAAAACGCCCAAAACTCGATTTTTTCGATAATGAAAGTTTTTGAACAGAAAGTATACAGTCAGAAAGTTTACTTTTGTTCTCAAGCATCGCATCAAAAGAAAGGAAGTTGAAGCTTTCTAAAATGGACCGCGTTAGCAAAAAGGAACCTAGCCACATCAGCTATTTCTAAAGTTAACTGGGCAATTTAATTTCTTAGCAAGAGGCCGTTTGTACGGATCCCTTTGAAATTTTTGAGGAATTTGCTTCGTACAATGCAGAAAATCCTCTGAAATCTGTACAAAAATCCGCACAGCCGTTTCCACGTGAAAAATTAATTTTCCCGATCAAATGTAGCGAAAGCTGATGTTCCGCTCGGCTCTTTTTGCTTATAATGTGGTCCAAATGATACTCATTCCGCTATATTTCATTAATATGTTGATCACCATTGGATTTTTGGGTATTTTTTTCAGAAATTCTTGGGGCCGCGCGAATTGGTCAAACCGGAAATTTGCTGAAAAATACAAGCTCGGCGAGCCGCACGCAGTTAATTTCTTCTACAGTGAATTTGTTGACTTAACCCCCACCACAACCCCTGAAGATCATCGGTCGACCAAAATATACACAGCTCCCACAAATAAACCGATTTAAGGGAGTTTAATGAGAGAACTGATGATATATACAATTCGTGGTCTGCACAGTTAGGAGGATAATTTATTCGTACCATTAATCATTAAGTGATTATACTTGCTGACAAGACATCAATTTTTTTTTGAACCTAAAAGAGAAGTACACAAATTTTAATCACGCAAAAAAATGAGTGTATTAGATCCCCTCATAATAAGTAGATGTCGTAAAATCCACGATAGGTCCATCATTTCCCTAGGATTACCATCAATGTGGCCAAGCAAATCCTGTACAGTGAGTTTACAGATTGTAGCTTATTCCCTTAAATGCCCCCTCTTCTCACTTAAAATTACTTAAACCAAGTAAGTTGATCTTAGTCCCGCAAATTTCTGACGATGCGGTAGTAACTTGTCACCGTGTTTAGATTTTGGTAGGTTTTCTCCCCGAAATCTAAACAATTTAGTTGATTTTTTTTTTCGTATTCGTTTCGTGGCTAGTGCCCCTCCCTTTTTTATGTCCAAAGCCAACCCTCACCCGTTACAATGACCGATACCAAGTTTCCAAAAAATGTTTTGGGGTGGATTCTTCCAGGTAAGCGTCGCAGAGGGGGTCCAGCAAAAAGGAAGATGGGTGGCGTTCAAAAAAAGATGGAACGATGCCATGCGGCGTCCAAAAGATCTGTGCCTTGGCAGATTCCGGTCGGTAAGGTGTCGCAGCGTGCCCTAGTGCGATGTAAAAGCTATTTCTGCATAAATACATGGTCGAACAGCAATTTAAATTGATAACGTCACTTGCAGAGGGAGCATATATTTAATCTCGATTTCAGGCGATCATAGAGGAATGAACACGAGGAGGGTAAATGTTTCATCTAAAGGAGTGGACAAGGATGACTAGTAAAAATATTTTGCGAACATTAAATCATTCTCGATTTTGTATTATGAAAATTAATTGTCTAACATTGATTTCACAGGCCTCTCGAGTTTTTAAAAGAAATGTCAATACCCTCTGTCTGAAGTATTTTTTAGCAGGGTGACTATGAATATGTCCACTTCAGGATGCAGGACATTCCATCGATCTTTTAAAAGAAATGTTAATACCTCAAGTCTGAAGTACTTATACCGGTCAGGGTGACTATGAATATGCCAAACTCAGGACGCAGGCCAGTCTTTCGAGCTTTTTTAAAAAAAAATTTCAAAATCCTAAGTCTGAAATATTTTTTATCGGTCAAGGAGACTATGATTACGCCGAACTCCTAGTTTCAACATGATAAGTCGATAACAGCAACTGTGGCTATATGATTGAAATGAAATTACTGGCTGGAGCACTTTTAGTTCCTACGAACGAGTGTTTGCCATAGCAACGGTTGCCGCTGATGTCTCCAGCGATGACAATCAGAATGACGTCGACGTGACCTTTTGACGTTTATCTATGTTTCTTGCTCTTACTCGAGACCTGTGAGTAGCATTCTTCTCTAAACTCCAATTTTAGGCATCAATATGTATTTTTTTTTTTTTAACTCAGTTTCGTACTGGTGCGCATTAGAGTTCTAAATATTTCTTTTTGACTCTAATTTTAATTTTTGGTATTTATTGGCTTTGTTTCCCCGCGAAATGGTGTGGACCCAGCACCATTTCTCCACCGTGTATTTTGATACATATTTTGATTTTCATGCCCACGTGAAACTGAGCAAAAAGTTCATCTCTGCGATAATTAGAGCAAAAACGCTCGTTTCACGAATTTCGGAATCAAGGTGAGATAGTAATACATTAGGGCCATGTGAGAACGAGAGAGACAGGTAATCTCTGTTTGGAAATGAAAGTGACTCGGTTATTGGAAGCAATGTTGTCATGACGTCACGACGGGTGCGTGACTTTGCATCCCCCTGCGATGCATCCACCCTTATCTAACCTTCCTATAACCTAACGGCTGGGTGGATGCATCGCAGGTGGATGCAACGTCCTGAACCCCGTCAGGACTAAGAGAGTCCATTTAAAGGCTTCCACAGCATGTAAATACTGTTATTTGAACATCAAGAGTAGACACGAATAGTTTTAGTCAATATTACTTTTAGACTGATGAGGTTAATAATAAGGTTATTTTAGAGTGCCGTTAGTGGAAAGTGCTTCGATCCTACACGACAAAAATGGGGTGGAGTCTACTTGCCTATTTAAATTCAAAATACTCGTACTTTCCGTTAACGCTACTCTTGCATGAATTATTTTATGTTTATTAAACAATGGGGAAAGTTATAGTCTTTTTGTGTTTCTTAACAATTACTGTTGCCATAAAAAGATGCATCATAAGTTGAAATGAAAATGAAGTTTATTGATAAAATTTCGTTCAATAGCTGAACCAGATAATTTCTTACGAATTTTTTTTAATTCGATCAATTTCAAAATTCACTTTGCCTCTTTAACATATCTAGGTTGCTCCCTATACAATTTCGTGTAAACCTTACGGGCACTTGATTGTACTATACTGCGAGAAGGGAGGGGCTGGAGCATACACTTTATGACGTAAGCAACGGAGACCTAATTTTCGTTTTTTTTTTTTATCACCGATTTATTGTTTCCATCTGGTGCTTCATGTTTTATTTCCGAGGACATGGTAAATCTCAAGCCGCAGTTAAAATTCTCATTCAGACTGATGATTTTGTTCCCTCTGTTTTGGGTGTCAGCAATCATCCCCAAAAATCGGGTGACATGTGCAGAATCAGATGAGTATACGTACCATCTTACACTGGAGCAGAGGAAAACGAGTTCGAGTGCACTAGTCAACACCATGGAATGGGTTGGAACGATCGACTCCCAAGAACGGATGCAACAATCCGAGCTGATCTTATTCGAAATGAAATTATCCCGGAGTTTATCATCAAACCTCCAAAATATGAAGCTTTTGTGAGTATACTTTCCTTCCAATTATTAGGTGTGTATGTGTAACTAAAGTTTTCTAAAGTTTTGACCATCATTTTGAAGAATTTTCATGATATTTCAAACAAAAATGAGCTTGTTCAGTGACTATTAAGTCTTGAATTTTTAAAAAGAAGAGGCACTCGGTTCCGGGGGTTTCTCCTAAATTTTTTCTGAGCTATACCCACTCACAAAAAAAGAGTCCAAGGATGCGTAGTTTAACCCTTGGATGCCCAAGTTGGGTCAAATTGACCCGAGACTAACTAATAACACGCAGACCGAAAGTTTTATGGGGTCGTTATTTATGAGCCTTAGATATAGGCCTCCAAATACACCCGGAAGAAAGAATCATACATCAAATCAGCAAAAAAGGAAACATATTGAGGATGAACACAACCGTCGGAAGGAAATACGAATTCAGGCCTCATTTTTAAACCTCTCTCCCGAATCTGAGCGACACCTCATTGACGGCAGAGAGCGGAGCCAGAGCTTTGCGAATTCACGCGTCACGCCATAGCGCCTTCAATTTTGTAGATACAACACGCACATCCATCAAGCACGAATAGTTGTATCTCTGCGCCGTCATCGACGCGCGTTCATTTCCTCGCCATATTCCTATGTTGTGTTGGTGCCGTTTGTCTTATGTGTAGTGTTTCTTCAAGGACTACGTAAGCAATCACGACATTCGAGGAAAACGAGAGGCATTGTGCGATTTGCAAGTGACCGCGGTATTAGGGATATTTTTGGAGATCATCCTGTGTTCCTTGGCAAAGCGCCTTCGAATGTGAGCTCAGAATACGCAAATTTGGAATCAGGTTTTTTTAGGTTTATATAGTTTCTTAAAAAAAATTCTGTGATCTAATTGTAAGTGCACTCTCTTTTTGCCAAAAATGCAAGAAGTAACAGCCAATAAACAAGCTCATTCAAACGAATAAAATAAAACAAACCATACAGCCCAAATAATTTTATAGGGTCTGTATTTCACTTTAAAGTCGTATGCAAGGGTACAAGTGAATTTTTTGAAGGAAATCGAATTTACATTCACCTTTTCGAACGATATGATTTCAGATAACTTTCCATGGTTCCATTGAACCAGACATGGGGAATATATTAAGACCAGAACAAGTTCGGTGGGCCCCTCATGCAATTGAATTCAAATTCAAACCGAACTCTTACTACTGCATCGTTATGACAGGTGACTGGAATTTCTAAGCGACAGCAGTAAGTGACTAAATAAACTTAAAGGGCTGGCTCTAATGAACCAAGATCACGAGAAAAACTGAAGTATTTCAGCTTATTGATAGTTTTGTACGGAAATATTGAATTGAGCGCAGGAGATGCAAACTACATTTTTTTTATACACAATTCAGCATTAGTTTGGATGATCTCAAGGGGCCCCTTTTCTTTCGACGAAATTTCATCGCACGTGATAATATGGGCTGAATTTCTTTAACATTGAATCCTATAAAATAATGCAACTTCGAACCTCTGTAATCTCTTGAACAGGTTATATCTATGATTTTAGAGCATGCGTCCTTGACTTTGTCTCTGATAAAGAAGAAAACATTGTTATAAATCGATCAAAATCATGTGTGAGAACGATTGATGATATTTTGCGATGTGCTTAATTTACTTTTTACATAGGCTATGGAGGCAGTCAGTTTGAAAAAATGTCGTACCTACGTACTACCAGGATACCGTAGTAAAGAGTATGTTTTAGCTTGTTGTGTTCAACGTGATTTTTAGGCGAATCAATCTAAATAAGTTTGCTTAGTTAGATTTATTTCTTAATGCGCTCAGACCTTCTTCTAATTTGTTCTAATGCGTATAGTAACATGAGCCTGTTCAGTCTCAAATATCTCTCTCTGTCACCAATTTTTCAGTCTTCTCTTCTAAATCTTTCTGAAGGTCTCGATGAGCCGTCGAAAGCGATGCCGACAAAAAGAGAATTTCTTCACTGGATAGTTGGAAACATGCCAGAAGATAACCTTGCCATAGCAGAACACATAGCTGAATATTATCCTGTTTTACCGAAAAAAGACACAGGTAAACATTATCACCATTTTTATCCCCCCCCCCCCAAAAAAAAGGAGAAAAAAATATCGAAACACAAGATTTTCTTAGTTAAAATGATACCATGAAGTAAATTACATTTGTATCCCAGAACTTTGAGCGTAATTATTTTTAATTATTTAAACTTCATTTCCTTATTTTATGATGCCTTGGAGTACGGCAATCTGTTTTAATCCTTCATTATGCTTTACTTGATATTATCATGTACTAACTTAATGTCTCACATCGTATTAATTATTTTTCAACAGGACTTCATCGATACCTGCTCTTAGTCTATGAGCAAAAAATGAAAATTGACTTTAAGGAGTTTCGACTAACTTGCAGGTACGTGTCGGATACAGATGTTTTTCAGCGAACAACATTTTCTATAGATTGATGATGATCATACTGTAGCTAAATTGTTCTGTATGGATGCATGAGATTGCTTTACAACACATCGATGCTGAAACTTAAAGAACATACGCTTCAATTGAAATATATCAAAATCTCTGTCCCAATTTTACTTCTGCGGTGGAAAAAAGATAATATGTTGCAAGAAATTTTTGAAACATATTACTCCAACAAAAAAGGACAACGGCGGAAGCTTGAGAAATTACGTTCATGCGTTAGTCGATTTAAGAAAAATAAAATAAAGCTCATTGCAATACAAACCTGGAGAATGAAAAACAAGCACTGCAAAAATTATTTTTATAATGCATGTCATTTCACTTAAAGAAACATCAAAATAGATCACAGAATGGGACACTTTGTTGCGGGAACGTCCCACCTTAGTGGCAATTCTTGAAAGTTGCTAACACTGTCTTTCCTCCATTTAAATGTCTCAAAACAATCGATTATTATTAGCGAGGCAGCTTGCATCACCTAAAATCGATATTTTTAATCGATTTAAATGGAGGGAAAACAGGTTTGCCAACTTGCAAAATCGCCAATTGCGTTCCACGAAGGGATGGCAGCAAGACGTTGAATAGATTTTACACCCATGCCAGTTCCACTATAACCTTTGGCGAGATAGACGAATGTGGCGTTTGGGAGTCGCAAAGTGTAAGAGCGCCATATAGGAGCAACGTTTACAGCCGTGATAGCGAAGAGAGTAGTAAGTGCTTGCTGGGATGAACCCCGAGACACCTAAAATCATGTGCTAACCATGGCTCATACAGAAATGTACTAACTGCTCTCTTCGGTATCACGGCAGTAGGTATATCAACGTAGAGACTCCCAAACCACGTTCCTCGGTTTGGAACGTCGCAGACTTTAGCCATACATTATTTTTCAAAAGAAAAACTATTCAGCGTCTTTTTTTAAGAACATTCGTAATTTTTCGCCCCTGGGCTTTTGCGCGAGGTTTATTTGGTGAGAAGTTCAAGGAATGACGTTTCTTTGTTCTTTTAAAAAAAAATAAAATAATATTGGAGCGGAGATTCTTCAACATTTGAAAGAGATACGTGATTTCGGAGTCTCATATTATATATTCATGTATGACGTTTTGTGAGAATACTGATTGATCGATTATAATACTATGTTCTTTTTCAAGGAATGATTGGGGCCGCGCAAAATGGTTCAGCCGGAAATTCGCAGACAAATACAAACTTGGAGAACCTTATGCAGTTAATTTCTTTTACAGCGAGCACACAGCGACCTAAAAGTCACTCAAAACACTACACACGATTGAACGACCGACACGTATAGTGCTTCCACAATAGAAATGTGTGTGTAAAACTGCATGTGGATGTTTGATAATTTCAAGATCGAGCGGGAACTGTCCTTTTATGTTTTGATGTCTGAAATTCAGTGTCATTGTGTGTAGATTTTGCGATGATGAGTTTTTGTTTTCACCATGTGCGAGAGTATTCTCAACCTGAAAAATGCAGTTTGACACTACGTTTTTAGTGAAAATTTCGGTTTCCTGGTTGTGAATTGAATCACTCTATGACGATCGATAATTATGCTGTTATACTGACGTCATTTTAGTCATGTACGAGTACATCAATATGCTTATAAAGACATGAGGATTATTAAATATTTTATTATATTGTTCTATTGAGCATTTTTTGTAATTAAAAAATTCATTGAAAGTACATGAAATGAAGTCATTCCCTCATCATTCTTTCTCGAAACATATTGGCGGGATTCTGCTTCATGTTGATATGGTTTTCCTGAATTCCAATGTAAATAGTTTAACCCTACGTGAAAATATTAACGCGCTAATGTAGCACATTTTGATTTATAGCGACTTCCAATTGCCAAAGCAACATTTTCTCTCAAAGATCGTTATGCAAATGGCACGGAAGAGAGGATAAATCTCTGAAAATATTTGTGAAACGACAAAAAAGGAGTGATTAAAATGAAGGAATTATCGCAGAGATGGCATCGCCGAGAGGTGTGATGTCACATACGTACAGGCTCATGATGCCGATTAGGGAGCACTGAGTTATCAACACAATCACACGCTCGAAGGCCGACGCTTTAATTATTCACCAAATATGTAAATTTCCTTATGGATGTTGTATATTTTCTTACGCTTTTCACTTGAAAAAAGTCAGTTAGGTATAGGGTTTTATTTAAACTGCGCATCTCCGATTTTTTGGCTCTTAGGCGTAGCTTGATCATATAGCCTGGAGCTCTAAAAATGTTTTTCGTGGGCTCTTTTTATTGTACGTACGAGCAATTTTAGCTAGGTTGTTTTTTCCATGGAAAAGGTGTGTAAACCGTGCGGTATGTTTGTCAACTATTCATGGAATTCAAAGGTAGGTGGAAGTTATAAGTAGTCTTTTCTTAAAAATTCAACGCAAATTATTTTAAAATGTAGCTCATTGTTTTGAGCCTTTGTATATGATGTTTGTGATTAAATTTACAAATAATCTAGATTCTTTGCTTATTGGGTAATGAAAACAAAAAAGCCGTCGGTGCATCTGTCTAACGTAATTCCTTCGGATTGGCAAATCTCAGACTCATAAAAACACGATAATTTTGACCAGAATGGTGACTATTAACATTCTTCAGTATAATTTTTGACGCATCAATGGTGATTGAATTTAAAAAAATTGAAGCCCCTTCTGTAGTTTTATTCCTCCTCCTAATGCTGCTAAAAAGCCAAGCGTGAAAAGTTTACATTGCACATTATAAAGAATAGGTAAAAATTCGTTATTTTACCTAGTAAATTTGACACTCATGGATTGAAACTGGTATTATATGATTATTTTGAGATGCAGTGACGAGACATTCTTATCACATCAATTTTGGAGATCTCGTCTTTACTCTAGTTGTGTGTCAGGGCTTCTCATTGTCTCTCTTCTTACAAAATTGCTCATATGGTGTGGCAGTAGTTTTTATAGTTGTGTACAAGTCCCAAGAGTGTAAGATTACGTTTATAATATAACTTGTCAAAGTCAGTAATTTGGCTGATCCTTAGTTTAAAACAATGCCAAAACTCAAACGGCTGCTGCAAACAATGTCCGGTTACGTTTACAGGACGAAGAAGGAACATAAAGATCGGCACCTTCAAGTCAAGGTATCAAAAGTGCCATATCCACTTACAATTAGACCCCATTTCTCTAGATGATTCAAACTCTTTTTAATTTTTCCTGTAACATTTTTGCTCAGACTTTCAGGAAAATTTCAGCAATTGAACTTGATGACAGAAGAAATATCAGGAAATATTTTCGAGTAATTCTCTAACGTTTCATTAGTTTTGCCGTAAAAAATTGGAAAATTTGAGAAGTTTAGCAACACAGCACCTACGCACAAATAGAGCTACTGGTACCTTTTACGGTAAGAGACGAAATTAATTTCGCACAATTTCTCCATTTTTATTTCAACTTTTTAAAAATAGAGTAAGTTTGGAATTGTGCACAGTGAAAGAAACTACATTACCATTGAAAGATGTGCATTGTTTTTTCCTTAAAGAAAACGCAGATCTGAACTGAAAATGTAGACTTTCCATTAATTACGTTACACCCTACGGCCGAGAGGAGGAGTTTCAATGGGCACCCATCAGGTACTCAACGATGGGAGAACAGGGGGAGGGTTGAGTATGGCGTAGCGTTCAAAAAGCACTTGGTTTTAGTAGTTTTTTAATTGCCGAAAATATCACCCAAAAAACCACGCGGTTCATGATACGCATTGCTAAGAAATGTGCCGTTGGACGTGATACCACTGTTCGACCTTCTTGGGACTCGGTGTGCCTATTCAGTTCATTGAAGACGTTTTGCCGTCTTGTCGCTTCGCGCTAAATTCCTATGAAATATCATGTTAACAAGCAACTTCTCATTTTAAACTGTGTCCCCTACGATTTGTTCTTCTGCCTCTCCTGGCTAAGGAAAGCCGCCGTAAGAGCGTTCTAATGTTGCCAAATTTCGTTTAAAAAATTTAATTAATCAATTAAATAAAAACAGATAATCAATTCGTAATATTTTACACCTCGACACAGTCACATTTCGGTCACAAATTAGCTTTTCAATTATGTACTAAGAAGGGTGATTTCTTTCTAAATGACTAAACGAATTCGTTCCTCTTATAGAATGTCGGAACTGGTATGTATTTTTTCCTTGGTGGTATGCGCCAAAATTCTGCTCGTAGCCACGGAAGGTGATGATTTGGCTAAGGAGGAGGAATCACTTCACACGGAGATGAGAACTCGTCTCATCCAGTATGGAATAATGCCTGACGTCCTAAATGAGACTCCGAAACATCTTGTGGAGGTATCAAATACTTTTTTTAAACGCTTAGCCGATTGGAAGCGCTTTTTGATTTCAACCTGCCTCCAGAATTCTTGTATACTAGTGGTAATGCGTTCAAATGGCGCACAACAACAAAGATGACCGAGAGGGGCCTATAACATATTTTGAATAGATTAATCTGTTTGTTTTTTTATTTATTTATTCATTTCGCAATTACAAATAAAGAATTAAGAAATCAATTACTAGACCGTAGCTGGTCTTTTTAAATTTTTGCTCAGTTCTATTATAATAAAAAAATAGAAATATACGCCGCTTTAAAGATCATAAGACAATAGGTGAAATGAGGGTGAATAAATGAAGAAGGGAACATGGGGTGAAAGTACAGATCTGGAAAAAAGCGGAAGAAAACTAATTAAATCCAACTATAACAATTGGACGTACCTGTATTAAACAGAACTAAGCGCCATATAGGGAAAGGAAGGAAGAGAGGGGCTTCGATTGGCGAGTGTTGCAGAACGCGATGCTCGTTCCGTCCTACACTCGCAATGCTTTTGCATGGCGCTTAGTTCCATTTGACAGAACGCGCTATCCGGGATTCTAAAGTCCTCAAAAGGAACTTAATTTGGCGCTTAGTTCCGATTAACAGAAACACGTCCAATTCCTAGTAATGACTAGTGAATTTTTCTAATTAACAGTGCTTTCGCCCCGTCAGTCGACTAAGACTGTGGGGGCCCAGAGGCACGAGCCTAACACCGACGGAAGTTAGCCGTGCTCAGCTCATGAGGTTTTCGTCTTTATAGCCTCCGGATATCAGATCCCCAATCCAAAAGCATTATCGCCGCAGGATTGGGGTGTCTCCCCAGTCTGCCTTCGTAGTTGTTGTACAATCGTGAGATGTACGTAGAGGGACCCTATATTGAAACCACCATTCAAAGCAACTCAGTCCATAATATGATACATATCCAGATATTTTAATCTTTAAACCTGAGTCTGCGTAAAGGTAATTCTAAGTTTACCCCAACATTGAGGCTAGCTAGCAACACACCCTCAAAAAGTCAATTTATACGTATACCTCAACAGAAATGAATCGAACTACTGAAAGTCTCTACAACAACTCAATACAACAATTAAAGAGAATGGTCCCCTCAAAACATTCTCCGTGTGTACTATTGCTATTGGTCAATTTTAAGGTAGGGCAGACTGAAGAAGTTTCATGCATTATCATTGTTTGTCTTTTTTAAATCTCGTCGTATACATCCTATTTCCTTTTGCCTGAGGTTAACAATTGAGAGTGACTGTATGTGATAGAACGTATATCAGATTTGATTCTAGGTCGTGTATGGGGAGTACTACAAGATATATTTTGGAAACAAAGTAAATCCAGACTTCTGCAGTGCACCGCCAAAAATGACCTGGCCAGCTGATCCGAAGAAATTTTACACACTCTTAATGGTCGGTAAGTGTGATAGAGTTAAAATGTAAGTTTAATACCTGCCGAGTATGCAACGATTTAAAAATATCCAACGAACCATTGGCAGCTTCTCTTACGGTAATTTTCTTGCAAGAAACAGGTTTTTTCACTTGCAAGCAACCATGACTGAGACTGTTAATTTCGTAAATAAAAAAATCTTAACGTAAATAACACCTTGAATTGACTTAAACAATGTTTGAAAAGGAATGTATCATGACGTCTTAACATTCAAAAAAGGAGTTGGATCAAGTTGATCCATGTCAAATCATAACTAGATGCCTTCAAGCCCATGAGTATGCATGCCGCGCTCCTAAGCAGAGAAACAGTTTTCTTAAGATGAGCAATTTTTTACCCTTGCACAGCAAGAACTCAAGGGACCGGCCGATTTCCTCGCTACATAACCATAGTCGATCAGAAACAGACGGACGAACTCCGATATCAGTGACTCAGTAAACTAAGGTACCATTCAGGAGTGAATATAGCTACGATCCATCGGTCCTAGGATTGGAGGCCCGCGATGTGCACTGGTCGGAAACACCGCGGTAGGTGCGGCACCGAGAAATTACGAATTTGCAAAGAAGGACGCGCGTACCGTTGTGAACGTGCAATGTGTGAAGTATTCCTACAGTCTTGCAGGCGCTAATATGTGTTTTGCGCCGACCGCAATAAGATCCGCGCGATTAGTTAAACTCGCAGAGTCAGCGGTTTTTCAACTTATGACTACCATTACGTTTTTGTTCACTAGGTTGAAATCCTGTCGTTTACAATCATAAAAAAAAGAAAATAAGAAAAAAAAATCGGACTAATTTTTATCTGTTTATGTACGATCGGTTAACACCATGTCCGTACCTCTTGTGAAACTGCACCGATTTTGTAGTATAGTTTTCAATGGTGATATTTTTGGCATCAGGGAACTATCGGAATTTTTTTTACCATTAACGACTTGAACCTAAACTATCTACATTCAGAAATTAGCACAGTACCCATAATCGTACTTGGTTGGCTCCATAAAAATGACAAAAAATGTGTATAATGATCTCAAAAATTCCACAACGTTAACTGGAAACAGGGGCTGATCGATCCCATTTTTTCTATTCTACGGTTTGAGCCCCTATATCTGATTTTTTTTTTTTTTTTTTTTTTTTTTTGACCTTCATATCCGAGCCGAACGAAAAAAAATTCTGCGGGAGACGAGTAGACGATTTTGATGCAGTAATACACTTTGCACTTTTGTCGATCAACAACCATCCAACCTTCCAATCCTATTCTCATACATACATAAAGCCGCTTTCACAGCGCAGCCTCGCGCTCTGCGACGCCCAAGCGCCATCGCCCCTTATCCTCCCAGAGATCATCAGACAATTGGCACCTTCTGATTTCCTCCTCCATTCCGCCAGCCTTTCACATGCCATTTCCTATTAATATATACTGTAATTTACATGGTCAATTGTAGTTCGTGCAGTACTTCCATTTTATAAAAGCTCCGTGTCTTAGATCCAGATCAACCATCTCGACTGACCCCGACGGATCGAGAATTTTTACTCTGGCTACTAGTCAATATACCAGGTCAAAAAAGGTTGCTGGGACACACATGTGCCGAATACCGCCCCCCTGAGCCTGATCCAGGAACTGGTAAGAATGGTTCCTCAAAAAAGGTCCTGCATGTGGGCAAGTAACGAATATGAAATTAAAATCAGGGGTGAATAAGGAACAAAAAATGGGTGTTTCATTTCTATCACATGAATAATTAACGAAAAAATTGGTAAGCAAATAATGGACCAGAAGGCAAGGTACGAAATCGAGCGTTCATGTGCAGGTTTTTCAACCGAAATTTCACGCAAAGCACGATCCGTACAACAAGAATGACTGAAACTAACTTTTAACTATGCTTTTTAACTAATAAGCCTCTAATTAAGCTCCAACGTTTTTTAATGCGTAAATTCAAGTCCTACGCTCATTAAAAAATGAGAGTCTACTTGAGACAAATCGCGCTCTAAACATTATACCATAATAGCCTCTGCGTTATACAGATGTGATAACCTCTGTTTCAGTACTGTGGCTTAACTGTTGCATTTTGTTAACACTTTGAACAACACACAACAGGGAAGGAACATTACTCAATTAAGAAGCTAGCTGCCAAAACTGTCAAAAAGTGCCATTTGATTCAAGTAGACCACTGTTATACTTCTGAGCGGAGATTTTAAAATTACTCGTTAGTTAGTTAATTTATTTATGGGCATGCAGCACCTTAGGCTGTTAACGTATTTCCAAAGAATTTTGAAAGCTGGATGCATATACGAAAATTCAGATTTTTAAATTAAGGGAAGCAAAAAGTTTCAGTAGTTTGGTTGTGACATTGGGCTCATCGCACGTTAGTGGGTTTGTATTCCTTTTGACTGTTGGTAAATAAATCTGTGAGCGGAGATCCCTGGCTGAGGACAGAGCAACGCGCAACGCAGCCTCCAAAATTGTGCGCGAATGAGCCTTTTTCCACCATCTTAAATACATTCGTTCCATTTTAAATTGCGCGTTATAGCTAAATTATCATTCCATAGTCCAAAGCGTATTTATTCGACGCAGCTTTACCGTATAAGGATACTTCCAAAATTAAATGTCTAAAATTGCTTCTTTCAGGCCCTCATAGGTTTGTGTACGTTGTTTATGAACAGCCCATGGGTAAAATCAAGTCAAAGGAGCCTTATTCTGATGTATTGTGAGTTCATTGTTTGAAATATTACTTTTAAAAACTTATATATGACCCAAGTTTTGAGGCGAAGTTCTTTTTAAGCTTATTGTCTCTTAAATTGGTTTTATGGTTCACATATCATTGACAAACCTATGATACCACTTTTAAACGTCGGAAATGGTAGCTCAAAATGTAGTCATTCATTTCCTTTTCAGCCCTCTCATGAGCGGGCAAACAGTCCAAACTGCTTTATCCATGATCTTACGCTCAACTCCAAAATTGGACTGTGAAAACTACAAAGCTCTGACCCATTCAACAAAAGTTCATGCATTGACGTTGAGTTGTCAAAAAGACCATCGTATGAAACGATTGACTTGGTACGCACGACTCAACTTATTCGATTCGTGTTGAATATGTTTGTATGTATTTCCGCACATAATCTGTTTGTATCAAATTCCACTATGCTTATAATGATTTCCCCGGTGACCAAACAAATAAGAGGAATAATGGAGCGGAACTTGCCTTGAAAAAAAAAAATTGGTAAAAACACAAACTTGAGTAACGAAAGACTGTTTTCATGTTAAAATGACCCCTTCACCCTGTTTTACTATAAGTTTACGAGGGCACCGTGGAACTTTGTAGTATCAGTATCATCAGTTCCCTTTCAATGGACGCTAGCCGTTATTTTTAGTTGGTTAGAACCAAAGGGAAATTTATAATCCGAAGAAAATTTGTTCAATCAAAGTAGAAAGATGAAAAAAAACAATTTGTAAATTGCTTCTCCTGGAATTATTTTTTTTTCATTTCAACGAACTCAAAAGAAGCAAATGGTGTATTTTTTAATTTTTATTTGAACTTTAATAAGAATCACTTTTTTTACCATTTGTTTGATTTGATAAAAATAATCTTAAAGAAATGTATCACATAATCTTAATAATTCTAAATCATTTTGATTCTAGTCAGAACGATACAAGACAACGTTTTAACACAAAACATTTTGCGGCGAAGTATGAACTTGGCGCACCTCTTGCAGTTAATTTTTTCTTTGGAGAAAAATTCTCGGAAGAAAATGCAACAACCTCAAAGTCAATTACTTAAATATCGATGAATTGGAAAGCCTACAGTATGTGCAATGTTTGTAAAAAAGTTGTATTATAGAATCAATATTCAAATAGTGGATAACGGTATTCTTATAATTCCTCTACTTTCTCCATATTAATTAATATTACCTTTTCCCTGTGCACATATGAATGAAAATACCAAAAAACTATCTCATTTGGCATCGGACACTTGGAACGGCAGATTTGAATTTCTCAGATGCCTCACTTCAACATTTTAAAATGGAAAATAAAAAAAAATAAGCATTTAACATGGTGAAAAATTCCTCTTCAGGAACCATCGGGGTGCTACACGTCAAAATCAGTCGTTTATTTTGAACAATCGATTGATTTAATCCATGAAAATTCAAATTTTAGCCCTGGGATCTCTTTGTCCGACAGAACGACAGAAATCAAGGCCGTCGTGGTGTTTTTCCGACTGTTACCCGCCCCTGCAGAATGTGTGTAAAATTTTTCTCACCTACGAGATACAATGTTACCGATGTCTCTTTAACTGCTGAGTCCGAAAATGGCCTTTATTTTTACCGAGAAAATGAGCAAATTTGACGTGTATTTGTCGTGAAATAGACTTTATTCTTATAAATTTTCCTGGACCCATGGTAGTGTGCTACTAATATATTTTGATCTGCTGGATTTGAAATCGGTTTCTTCCTATCACCCTACGGTTTTCCGGTAATGCCAATTTTTCCGAGGCTAAAATTGTGTATCGTAAAATCATCGCAAAAATACCTGAAATCAGCGGTTTCTTAGGAAAAGCGACTTTTCCGGGAAAATGATGGGTGATCCGAAAAATCTGAGATCATATTTAAATTTAAGAGTTCAAAAAATGCATCGCCCATCGCAGACATTTTTAAAATGTATTTTTAATACACTTTGAGTTCGGGAAAGCTTTTACGCGATTATTTTCACAGGAACAGAAAAAAAATATTTGCCTAAGTTTCGTTTGAGCCGTCGCGTCGTGGATATGGTGATTCTTGTGCTGCATGCATGAGGAAAGATTCTTTAGAATCCATCTGAATCGGTCAAAGAGAAGAAATTTGGTTCAAAGTTGGGGTCTACAGAATCGATCTCCTGAGTGATGGATCTGATACTTTTGATTTTATCTCTCCAATCGAAATTTTAAAATAAAATAACTGATTTAAAGAGCCATAACCTTGCAAAAATCAAGTTATTTAAATCAGGTATTTTATTTTACTTATAATTCGGCTTGCTCATTGCAAACATGTTTGAATCTAAAATTTAAAAACAAGCCAATCGAGTTTTCAAAATTATCACAAGACGAACCGATCCTGTCCAATTCGATCCCCGACGAATCGAAAAAATTGATAGTTCGAGATCTCGCGCATTAAGAAGAAAGGAATATTTGCTAGAAAGCACGAGCCTTTCTCTTTCTCCCAACTCAAAAGCCCAATTATATCATAGAAACGCAAAAATTATGGAAAGGAATTTATTCTCTCGATCCGCTTCAGAGGGAAAATATTTGATACTGTCAAAAGATCAGCGTGCCAGAATCGATTTTATATTTTAAAAAAAATGTATGCATGGTTTACCATTGTGCGATTGTAGATTGTGCATTCCCTTCTTGTGGCACTTCCTTTCAATAAACTTCATGTAAACGATTGATACACGAACTAATGACGCCTCTGATCAACCCATTGTGTTAGAGTTTATTGATTGTTTATTTTTCACTTTTTTCGTATCGTAATATTTATTGACCTCGGGTACTTCGTTTATGAGGAGTTGAAAGACATCACAATTTCTCAACTTCTCTCTCCTGCCAGTCTGATTCTATAAGTGTTGTGATATAAATGCTCTAGTTTGATAAGAAACATGAATGATATCATAAGCTCATTATGTAATAGGAATGACGGTAATCATGGGATTTTTTTGTCATTTATTGTGTTTTAACATACTTTTAGTGTGACGGTTAATTGTGTGAGAAGAAGTATGCGTGAGTGCTGTACGTGCAACTTGATATATTCAGTCGATTTATCATTAAGACTAAGAAGGGAAAAAATGCGTTTATTTTCGCGCGACGTTAGTGGTTGATTAATTGTGTGGCTGGAATGGGATATAGCAACTTCTTGCAAGATCGAAGCCAGCAAATTCCTTGGTAATGAAGCTCTTGTATGATTGATTTTATTACTTTAAAATTTGAGGAAAGATATGGGTTTATCAGTTTTGGAAAGTGCATTGTTGTTGTCTGAGAGCTATACAAAAGAAACACTTTAAATAAACTAGCAATAGATACCTCATTTTTTAGTTTCATCATCGATTTACTATTCACGTATGGACTTTTTTTCAGAAGAAATGTCAAAACCTACGTTACGAATACAATTTTTATCAAAGCAGGTGATTTTGCTCACTCTGTTTTGGGCGTCTTTTAAAGTTTCCAAAAATTTGGTAGTACAAGCGGAATCGGATGAATACACGGATAAACCACCAAATACACTATTACATACAACAACGGATTTATTGACGAGCCCCACAGATTCTACCTCGAGTCGATTGCAAGAAAAACTCCACGAAGATTCACCGGCGACGAGCTATTTGATATAGCCCTTAGCTGTCTCCGCAAATACCGTATCGCAGCCGCGCTGTGAGCGGAAACCGTAAGCAACCCGCAACACAGAAACAACCCTTCCGGCTCCTATAAAATCACCGCCCGCAGGATGGACGACCACACTTACGCGATGACCCCCGTACCTATCACCATGGAGCAGAAACAACATTTGCAGCCAGACGAGGAAACCTTTGACGGATCCTACACATCCTACTGGATCGACGAGCAAGACACCGCATCCGTCCACGACTTTTGCAAGGTAAACCAGAAAAAATTATATGACGTCATGGAAAAGCACCAACAACAACCCACGAAACTTACCGCAATTTTCCACACCGTATTCTACCACGAGAGGACCGACACTCAGTCTGACCAACTTGTGACGTCACTCCCCGAAACGATGATCACTGTCGACGACCGTCAACGTTATTTAAGTAGTTTAGATAAAGATTTGATAAGGCAAATTGTCAATTTACAGTTCCGAAATTCACAGTGGCGTTTACTTTACGTGAAAGGTCTCGAGTTAAGGATATATGAGTACCAACCGTTGGGAGGGGGGCTGGAATCGAATTACCGGCAAAACTAAAAAATCGCCGAGCTCTTTTGACAATAAGACCACCCTTTGAGAATGATAATCGATGTTTTAAATGGGCAATGCTGGCTAAATATTGTGATGAGCGTGATGTGAGACTTGCAAAACAGTTGACTAAGTATGACGACAAGTATGTTTGGTCTAGTTTCCCGATGACACTTTCGGCTTTGGATAGTTTTGAGGAGAGGAATCCCGACACAACGGTGAATGTCTATGGGTCAGACGATTTGGGCGATATTCACCCTTTGCGCATATCGCCCAAACAGGCTGTAGATCATACCAACTTACTCTATTACAATAATCATTATACGTATATTAAGAATTTAAAAAACTTACTTTCAGACGAGCGAAAATATAAATTCGTTTGTGAAAAGTGCTTGATTCTTTTTTCTATAAAAAAAAATTACAATACACATGCGTATATATGTCCTGGATACTCCTCCTCAAAACTAACCGTAGCCGAAAAAAGTCTCCCAAAGGAAATAATTAAGAAACGTGCTCTTGTGACACCCGGGAGTATGTCATCGGAAGAATCGTTTAGACAGGCAGTTTTATTAGGTAAGGCAGGTAAAATCGTAGATTTAAGTGAATACGGGGGGCTAGTGACAATTAATGAAGTGGCCCGTTTTAATCGCCAAAATCCGGAAAGCGCATTGAATGTATACACCATTAATGAAAGTAATAAATTATATCCTTTGTATATTTCCAAGAACGCGTCTGAGAAAGCCCAAGCAATTCATTTATTCTATTACGATCAAACTAAGTCCTATTATTATATTAAAGATTTAAGACGATTGGTTCGCTCCCAGAAAACGAAGAATAGGAGGAGGGTATACATTTGTCCAAGATGTTCGAGTCATTTTCCGCACGAATGGAACTTATTGACACATAAACCTCTGTGCTCGCAGAATCCCGTTGCGCGAGTTTACTTACCAGCACCGGGAGCTAACATTTTAACATTCACTAAATTTAAGTACAAAATTAAACAGCCAATCACCATGTTTTTCGACTTTGAAACTACGCTGAAACCCATTGACGAACATCCTAACTCATCCACGCACTTGTACGCACGCCACGAACCCAATAGTTTTTGTTTACACGTAGTTAATGAGTACGAACCGGCAACAATGCCACGTGTTCATTGTGGGAAAAACGCTGTCGAAACTTTCTTCAAGTATTTGTTTGAAGAGGTGGAGAAAGCTATGGGATATATGGCTCGTTATACGCCGTATGATCCTGATATGGCTTCTGAATTTGATCGTGGAAAATGCCATATTTGCGAATTGCCAGTCACAGCTACACAAACTCCTTGTGTAAACCATTGGCACCAGGTCGAGGGGGGCACGATTCGGGGGTACGCCCATGTTGCGTGTAATTTGGCATACCAACAGCCCGATTATATTACTGTATATTCTCACAACGGATCAAAATACGATCAAAAGTTAATGCTTAAACATATGATTCAGGTAAAGGGTGCTATTTCCGTGATTGCCCGGACAGACGACGAATTCATAACGATTATACTAAGCGTTATTCCAACGGTGTTTCCTGTGTTAAAATTAAATTTGTCGACTCGTACAAAATGATGTCTAGTTCTTTGGATAATTTGGTACGAAACATGGCCGGTGATCGGGAATTGTTTGTGCAGACGCGGAAAGTAATACCAGATCATTTGTTGCATTTGGCTTTACGAAAATCCGCTTTTCCGTACGCTTATATCACGAGCGAGGATGTTTTTGACGAGAGAAAATTACCTCCGATCGAAGCTTTTTTCAACGACCTCACTAAAGAGCCGTGTCCGCCGGAAAAATATGCGCACGCTCAAGAGTGTTGGGAGGCCTTTGGTATGAAAACATTGGGCGACTACAATCGGTTTTACGTTGTGTTAGATACGCTGCTTTTAGCCGATGCGGTCACAGCGTACCGTAAAACAGCTTAACTGTCTCACGGGCTTGACCCCGCCCACTTCATAAGTAACGCAGCATACACCTGGTCGTGTATGTTGTGGCATACGCGCCAGGAAATCGAGCTGCTCATCGACATAGACCAGTATTATACTTTCAAGAACAACATAAGAGGCGGCTATTGTGTGTGTAGTGTCAGGCACGCGAGAGCTAATAACCCTGACGTCAACCCGAACTTTAATCCAAACACCGATGTGCCTACGTATCTATTTATGACCGATTTTAACGCGCTGTATTCTAGGGCCATGTGCGAGCCTTTGCCGTTGAGAAATTTCAAGTGGATGTCCCGGGCCGAATTAGATTACGTGAAGGCTAACATACTGGATATATCGGACGACGCAGAAACGGGATATTGGCTCGTCGCTGATATCGAGTACCCTGCCAAACTACACACGTTACATAGTAGAATCATGCCAGTTTTACCTGAAAATATAATTCCGCCAGGCGGAAAAGTGGCAAAACTGGTTGCCAACTTGAGAGATAAAACTGAATACGGTCTGCATTATCGAGCGCTTAAGATGGCTGTGTCATTAGGGCTGAAAATAAAGCACATACATCGAGGTATTTCATTCCGTCAAGAGCCATATGGTTGCAAGGCTATATCCATAAAAACATGGAGCTGAGGCGCCACGCAACAAACGACTTTGACAAACAATTGTACAAAGATTTTTGCAATATGTTATTCGGTCGTACTTGCATGGACGTGAGTAAGCATAAAAATGTACGGATAATTACGGATAAAAATAAGTTTCTGAAAGCGGTGGCCGATCCGTATTTCGAGAGAGCAACAATGATTGGTGACGAATTGGTCGCGGTTTATAAGCACAGGAAGAGCATTCGCTACGATTTTCCCATTTACATTGGTGCAAGCGTTCTAGACATTTCTAAAACCCACTTGCAAGATTTTCTTTATAATCACGTAAATAAGTATTTTGGCGAGACTTGGCAACTATGCTATACGGACACAGATTCCTGTCTTATTTTCAGCGTGGGTGTAAATCCGTTACACGTTGTGAAGTTGGAAAACCAAAAAGGGCCCCAGTCATGGTACGATTGTAGCGACTATGACCCGAATCATATGTGTTATAGCGACATCAACAAGCGTGTCCCCGGTAAAATGAAAAACGAGTATCCAAAAACTGACATTGTAGAGTTTTGCGGCGTGCGCTCCAAGGCGTACAGTATCCTAACCATGATAAACAATAGACGAAAACTAAAGGGTATAAAATCTCACGTGATACGAAAACAAATTACTCATCAGGACTATATAGATTGCTTGTTTAGGAATAAGCGGTTTCAGCATCAACAAAGCACGATACTATCCAAAAAACAAATTTTATATTCGGCGGTAACGACTAAAACATCTTTGGATTCTTACGACGGAAAAGTTTACTTGTGGCCCGACAATGTGCATACTTTCCCTCATTACCATGTTGACGTTTTGAAGCATCAGAATTTTATGAAATTGTTGATTCCCGAAATTCAAGCCGAAGCGTCACGTAGACGCATCAGGCACGGCATAACCGATTATGTCATCGGAGACGAATCTGACGTTGAGATGCTCGATGCGTCTGAGTTGTGACGAGTGTATGTATTTATTGTGTAATTGCTGCTTGCCAGACGCGCTCGTGGAACGAATCATATTACGTTTAGTGTAAAAATTGTATTTTCGTATAGAGGCGCATGCACGCGCCGCAGTCCACTTTCAATGCACCTTTACATGCGTGGAACAATTAATATTCCAATTTGAACGATTAAAGAAGGAACTTGTCGAAAGCGTTTATTTAAAGATTGTGCATATTTTTCGTAATTAGTGTTTGCACTTTCTGGGCAAGTATAATGCCATTACGGTGTTTATGTGCGATTTAGATTCTATGAATGCCACGTTTCATTGTTATCAATGCTTAGCGTAGAATAACTCTTTAAGTAATAGACCTACAAAACTCCTGAGTTGATACCACCACCATAACACGTAGTATGTAGTTTAGAGTATATGCATCTCTATGTAAAAAATAGAAGTATGAAACGTTTTCCTTGCGATAATACCTCTTATACACCGAGTAGGTAAGGGTATCTAAACCCGTAAAAAGAAGTCGCTACAAAGTATTTACCTAGATAAATGCAAATAATTATTCGTTTTTACTTGTAAAAAAAAAAAAAAAAATCCTTAAAATGCTCCTTAACTAATAATCTTGCATAGATGTATGAGATGTAGCGTCTCCCGTAATTGAAGGCGAATCAAGCGAAATAATTATTTTTAAGAGAAAAAATATTTTTTTTCTTAAAACCACTCAAAACTCCTTACAGTCTAAAATTTGCGTAGATGTATGAGATGTAGTGTCTCCCGAAATTGAAGGCGAAGCAAGCACTGGCAATATAAAATAGTATCCGTTAGGAGTAACGATGACACAATGTGCAACGCCGCTAAGTGAACAGTGTGTTGGAAAATTGTCACCGGGCGAATGCAAATACTTATTGCTCAAAGTAGAATTACCCGAAGATTTACAGTTAGCGGTAGCGTAGCGTATAGACTCGGTAGGGCAAGCTATTATTGTAACGTACGTCACGCTCATTTGTTGTATGCTCAAAGGCGAACAAAAGTACATAAGCGATTTTACGTGAGAGATATATGTAAATGCGACTGTACGTGTACCCACCTGCTTAGATCGGTGCGATACGATTTGATAAGCGATCGGATAGATTGGGATTTGATTCGCGAATTTGATCGCGGTTTTAGAGAATTTTGTTTCGACGAGTTGCCACGAAATCATTTTTTTTTTTTCGAGAAGATTCTCGGTCACCCCGATGCAAGGGATGTCTTACCCCGAGCCATTGTGTGCGAGTATTATACGATGGAAACGCATGCGTACCCTCATGAACTTTTGTATTGACACTATTTCTCTAGTGTGTGTATGTATATAACAGGCCCTCCCTTCTCTTTAAGCCGTTATACCGATAAAGTCTACATAACGACTAGTAATAACTAAAAAAAAAAAAAAAATAATAAATCATGAATCAAAATGAGCATGATGTCATGGTTTATATGTTTCCGCTGAAGAGTGAACCGAATAAATTGGCAGGTTTTCGTGTAGAAAATTTGTATAAATAAAGCCTTGACGAATGTATATTTTTCCTAGTTGAAGTAGAAGTACCGTTAAACATTAAGCATATAATCGCGTACCAGTTCGGCACACAGAGTTTCTTTAATCACAACGAGAACCATGTAAAAGCACGAAGCGTGCGGCGACGTACACCCGATACTCAACGGTTTTATAAAAAAGTTAGTTAGTTAGTTATTATAATTTTGAGACATTCAGCGACTCAGGCTATTAACGTCTTTACAGGTAAAAGACATATGTACATGTGAGAACGATACATGTCTCGCTGTGATTAAAGACACTCACGCTTACGCCAGCAGCATTCTCAACGATCCGCTATTATTCGCATCGTATAATACAGGGCTAATAGAATTTTGTTTTGGCGAGTTGCCTCGCGGTCATTTTTTGTTTGAAAACTTTTTGGGTATAAAAGACAGGCGCTGAGGTGGGTGGGCTAAACAAAAAGTAAGAAATGAATTCTCTGCAGAAGTTATGCGTAGAACGTTTGACCGAGGACGAGTGTGTGTTTTTGTAGATAAATAAAGAAATAGAATTTTCACGGGTAAAATTTTTCAAAACTCATGACAAATGCGTCAAATAAGTGGAGTAGAATCCTCATCGAAATCTGTATGACAAATTTTCAAATTTCGGTTGCCTGGACTAGTTTCTAGATTAGGGTGTTACAACAATCTCTAATCAGTTTTGTGTCTTCTTTCCTTTTTATCCTTTACAAAACAAATGAGCGAATCGTAGAATATTGCATCAAAATTAATGAGCATTTATTAAATATGTTTTTCATAATTTTAGAACGCGAGTACCTAAATATCCTACTCAAGTTGGCATCAGTGTGTAAAATAAATCGAATTCATTTCAGCCCCTCTGCCTGGACAAAGCCTTAAAGAACCAAACATGGCAATCAAACCGAGCAATTAATTGAACCCTCAACTTTTTAACAGTGATCCCTATACAAAAGATTTAAAGGTCAGGCCGACTTGATTTGATAAACAAGGTTTAATAAAATGATGCTTCTTACAAGGCTTGATTACTTTTAATGAGAGAAAGAGTGGATAATTGAATTTCTGATGAATGTAAACATGATTTTACGATGTATTCAATTGTAATTTTCCGGTTTAAATTATAAAATGATGAGTTGACAGAGCGTTCTTTTGTGAAGAAAGTGACGGCTCGTAAATTTGAATTTTCACGTAGAACCAACTTTATCATTTCCGGATAAACATTATGCTTTAAAAAAATGAGTAAAACATGTATAAAAAATGTTTTCTCGGAGCTGAGCACTATTTTTACATTCTTTGTAACGTATCAAAAGCAAAAAACTCGGTTGAAGCCCTTGACGGCTACTCAAAATTCTGAACTGATAGGAGAATGAATTCTAACCGGATGCGATCGAACCGCCTTTTATATGATTTACAATAATAAATTGGACGCGTTTAAGAAAAAAGGAACTCTATATTTGTTCTTATTTAAGCCTTGAGATCCATAAGAATGCATGCATGACAGGGCTCAAGCCACGATGGATACAGTTCCTTTTGATATAAATCAGTGGGAGGCGTGAATGATCGATGATCGATATTTCCCCATTTGAAGCTATGTTAAAGAATCTATTATCAAGGTGTTCGTTGCAAACACCCTGTTTGTTGATCCTTTTTCATAGGTTTAAATGGCAGATCAATCGATTTATCGCAAACACACCTCGCCACGGATTTAAATCCATCCAACTCATCTGGAAGAGTTTAGCATGAGAGCAGTGTGGCGAGTTGGGGACTCCTGTATATTCACAAACATGGTTTTACTCGCCAATACTGTTCATATGATCCTCTTCATCAGGAGTCAGGTCTAACTCAGATATGTCGAAGTCGATATCTTCACCTATGTGACACTCCTGATCCGGCACATCATCCGGATGAATCGTGGGACCCGTCTTCATTGGTATTCGTTTGGGTCTTGGTGCTTTACTCCAGTCGCCCAAGAAGAAATTGCACGCCCACGGCCCCGTCAGGTTGTACTTCTTTACGAACTCCTTTGTCGAGAAATATCCTCGTAGCATGTTGATAGGCCTGGAAATGTTTCCAACGTACATCAATATCATTACGTTGAGCATGCTTTATAATGCGACCGGGGGGGGGGNATGAGGGGGCGCGCGAAGCCCCAGGGGTTGGGTCATGTAGCGGCCAGGGGGCAGACTCCCTAGTAGACTATATTTTTTATTCTTCCCTGTTCCCTGACATCAAAATTGAATGCAAGGCAGGAGCAGTTTAGTCGATACGTAATAATTGAATTGAAATGTATTAAGGTGTAGATGTGTTTAGGTAAGAAATATAGGAAAATAGTAGCTATAAAAATGTAAGTACCTGGGGCACCTTTAATAAAATATCAATTACTTATTTCTGCATTTCCATTATTGCCAAAAACCCAATGCAAGAAAATATGGGAGGTTTCTTCCTCTTCTTTATCCTATTTCGTAACCTTTAACATGTGATTTAATATTCTCAAATTGCAATGGAGGAAAAATGATCGATAAATAAAAAAAAATGGCATAAAATTATTTTGATGGATTCGGAACCCTAAAGAATTAAAAGCTGTGTGTGCTGATACGTGCATTCCGTAAGCATCAAAAACATATGCGTCGATATTTAATATTAAGATAATGAATTATTAAGAGTCCAATACTAACTCTGGACCAAGATGAATTTCATCAAATTCCATTGGATCTTCTCCTGGTTGTTCATAAACAACAAAAATATATCGATGAATATCTGAAATCAATCCAATCATAATAAGCAAAGCGAGGGTCAATATTCAACGTGTGTCAGAAGGATAAAACTGTTGGGAAAGCAGTGAAAATAAAAAAATTATGTATATTAATATTGATTTTTTTTCAGAGAAGGTGTAATATCGGAGCAGGGTGGATGTGAAATTCCAGTTGTGTGCAAGGTGTTATTAAATACGCAGATTTCGCGCTGACGAGTGGATTTCGGACTTGTTTTAGGTGTCCAGCAAGATTTTCGTGCGATTTAACCTTAAAAAGTTTATATATTTGGTTGTTCCTCTTGCGTGCAACATACCCTTTAACTACATTCATTCCTTGATTTCCAAAAAAAATTGCGTGCGATCCTAATTTTTGATCTCTTGAAAAAAACTAGCCCATAAAGTATTAGTCATAGTACATATATCAACTAGCTCATATGATCCATACGACTCATTGCTCAAGTTTTGTAATTTCTACGTCCAAAATTATGAACAAAGAATTTCTACTAACGTTTGCCTCTGGATGGTATAATTCCTATGTACTCCGCATAAACATCTCCAAGTTCGATGTAATGCCCATAAATATTTGTAATGAGCCAATGGTGCCACTCTTCTTCGAAATCACGCGCATTACCAAATGGTCCATCGGGGTCTGGAACATATACAAGAATTAGTTTTTAATAACGTTAAATATTCATGATCAATATGGTGACTAGAAATGAATTTCAGCTCCAGAGGAGCAAATATATCTCAACTGGATGTTTTACGAAATATGATTCTCAAAAACAACTACGAAGAAAAATGTATTTATACTCACATATACACCAATAATAATCGTTTCCCTTGATTTAAAGCCAAGTTCGATCATGTTTCATGGCTATGTTGTGAGATGGTGCCTTCAAAATTTTGATGTTTGCTTCAGTGAATATTTCCCATAGTTCTTTAATAGTCTTTTTAAATCCTGCGTCTACTTGATCTATTTGGATCTTCTCAGCCACTCCCCCCTCCTTGATCGGGGGCAATTCGAGGACATTGCGGAACCCTGAATGTCTAGCGAGTGGCATCTCTTTTACGCTTTTTACAGCTTCTGCAATCCAAGTTGTGGCATCCAAGGTTTTTACAGACTTTACGACCTCTGAAACACTCGCTGCCTTGGACATTTTAATGATTCGTGTTTTACTCCTTTAACCAGTTGTCAAGTTCACAACGATTTTTCCCGTTTGCGAATAAATCCGCTAAATTCGCCGAAAAATCTTCCAATCTCCGCGTTTGGCAGGCTTCTTTATGAACAGGTTTATTTAAATGCATTTATCACAGCAAATCCTCAGGACGAGAAAAAAATTTCGGTTGAGATCGGTTTTCCGCTATGAGCAGGGTCCGTTATAAATAGGTTTCACTGTATTTGATAATTTGCAACGAAGTAATTGTGTGAAATAAGGCATAACAGCAGTCTTGCCGCTTAGTTATTATTCTTTTTTTACGTCAAAAACAACGGGCGGGGAAGAGTACTAATCCAAGTTATAGGTTACGTTGGGTTAAGCAACTAAACTAACTATGCGGCGAAGCATAGGGTATCAAGTGAAAATGAAGGCGCTTCGTCGTGCTATAACAGGTCAGTTTTACAATTCCGGCTGATTATGGTGGTCAAGAAGCCGGTAAAATTCATCGCAAGTAAAATGGAAGTGAAAACCGGGCTTTATTAATATTTTGCTGAATCGGACGTAGTTAAACATGGTTTGTGGACAATTCGGCTAACACTATGTTTGAGAGGAAAATTACAGTTTCCCCGTGATACAGGATCTTTGCAGTATGGCGTAATAATCATGCTTACCTGTCATAATTACTGTATAAAATTTCTCGGAATGATGGTGCCAATTCATAATCTTCGGCTCCAATCTTGTCTCATTGTAGGTCAGTACGTTGCCATATTTTACGACGGCATTCCGATAGTAAATCTGAATTTAAAACAACATTCTTTAACAAGTTCTGATTTTACAGGGAACACACGTAAATTTCGAAGTCAGTTATGGTTCAAGCTTTATGTAATTACAGTTATTGGGTTTATTGATTTTATTCTATCTACTATACTGCAAGTTCACTCCTTTTCTGCTGTTTTCGGGCACAATGAAATAAAAATCAATGCCACTAATTATGAATCGCATGATTGAATCGGCTCGTGCGTGCGTAAACGTCCAATAAAGGGTTCCATAATTGCAGCAGTTTTTTTTCACGACACTGGTGAATAAAATTGATCTCTTTAGTAAACGTTTAATTATACTTAGGGGCTTTTTACATAAAATTGTTCTACATTCCTAATGTCTTAAACAATGGAGATGTTGCATTTGTGAGAAATTTGCGATTTGACTATTGATTTTAATGAAAAAGTTCGCGAGAAATACAATGGTGCCACTGATTTTCTCTGAAATCAACTCCCAAGCTCAAAAAAAGCTCTCAAAAGAGGCCAAAATGGAGGGAATATCCCACGCTATCTTGAGAGTCCACCTCTACATCGAGACGAACTCTATGAAAAGATAGGGAGCAAATACATTGACAGGGCTGCCACTTTTTTGGGGGACTCCAAAACTGAAAACACGGCAACCCTGCTAATGTATTTTCTCTCTATCTTCGCATGTAGAGTTTGTCTTGATGTAGACATGGACTCTCAAGACAGCGTGGGATATCTCCTCCATTTTGGCCTCAACTTGAGAGCTTTTTTTGAGCTTACGAGCTGATTTCAGAGAAAACCAGTGGCATCATCGTGTTTCTCGCAAACTTCTACATAAGAATCAAAGGTCAAATCGCAAATTCCTCACACATGCAACATCTCCATTATGTGACTGTGAGTTACAATGAAATCGTCTACTTAAATTCTGGAACACTGTTTTGGGCATCGGACGTTCTCGCACAAGCCGACTTAATTGATATCTGCACCTAGTGTACATTTCCCATAGAGTACATAGAGTCGTAATGTAAGCGGGAGATCTAGTGTCACTTTTAAGCATTTTCCAGGTCCCGAATTCCGAGACTCCCGTGTCACGCCTGGTCACTTTTTCGATATATAATCGATTGTTTTCGATTCACGGGTACCCGGCCATCCGATGTAAACAAAGGAGATAGGAATTACCACGTATTTCACACCGCCATTTTGGATCGAACCTGTATCGAAAAAGTGACCGAAGCTCGGCTCACAGCGTGCTCGGAACTCGTCGAGCAGAACATAGTGCCAGTTCTCCCATTTACATTACGACTCTATGTACTCTATGAACTTTCCAAATGACTATACTATTCCAAAAAAACAAAAATATGATTTTTGTACAAAATTTCGGCCCAATCCAAAAAATGTCACTAATTACCAAAAACAAAAAAAAAAACAAAAAAAAAACCAGGCACCCAAAAAATATGATGGCAGTACCGTTTGGATTCATCATATAAAAGGAAATGATATCAAAACGGCCCAATTTTCTCTTTCATGCCCATGCAATATACCAAACACCCCAACTTTTTTCACAAAAAAAAAA